TTTGAAGAATGCTGATAACCATACAGTTGATGGTTCCATAGGAATTCTTTCCCTACTATGGAAGTCAATGGAGACCAACAACTGTTTGTTTCTTCAAAAGTTTTCAGAATATCTTCTTTTGGTGTTCAAAATAAGAAAGTAACATATACAGGTTTAAAACGACATGAGGGTGAGTAAATGATGATAATTTTTTTTTTTTTTTGGGACTATTCCTTTAAAGACTTGGCAATATTCCACATATGAAGTGTCTGACTTTTTCATTTCTCTTTCTTTTGTCCTGTGTCTCTAAAACAGGGTCTATATCGGGAAAAGACTGACAACTTCCCCTGCAAGCTCCATTTGAACACCGATCTGATCAAGTGCCTCAGGCATGGCCCAGGTGGATTAGGGAGAAGGTTGCAGTTTGTACGAAGAAGCCCCCCGCTGCTCCCTTCTGCTCCTTTAAGTCCTATCAGCAACATTTCTCCCTTTTTTAGTAATTCCTTTAATTAGCCTTTCCATGTTGAGAAGCATAAGTGATAAACTTCTCTTCATTTCAGGCCCTTTTCTTTCTCGTTTATCATTTTCTGTATCCCTTTTCCAGTTGTGAATGTTCTAACACCCCCTTAGCAGTACTATTTTATTTTGGAAGTATTTGGAGCATTGCATGAAACCAAATGCACACATGCTAGCTCCACACTAGCTCGATTCAGCTAGGAGGCAAAAAACATCCCATTTTGGTCCAATCACATGACCCAAAAGGTGATAAAGAATCCCCCTGGTTTTCACCCTCAAAATGGAATCAACCAAAATATATGACTTATTGAAGTTATACGAGCATGCCTGAGCGCTAGCTAAGATTTTATTTATTTCTACAAATGCTACCAATTTAGTTCTTTTATTGACTTCAAGGGCGGAACGCCAGGATGATGGACTTAGGAAGGATAGGGCTCTCCGTAGACCCCAAACTCATCTGTTGAGGATGAAAAATTAATAACTCAGACATAATATATGTTTATGACTGTATCACATGCAATTTTATACCAAGTTTTGCATAATCTTTTACACGACCCTGACAGAGACAACACCTGTTACTTTGAATCGTCTGAATTTTTTAAAAATATTTCATCTCATGAACATAGATAAAAACCAGTCTGATGGGGCTGACGGATCCCTGTATGAAAAAAAGATTTGTTGTGTCGTTTTGTTAGTTTCCTTCACATACATATCAGGACCTAGTGATTTCTTACTAGGCGTCTACAACATAACCTACTTTGCAATACTGCACAATTTACCATTAGCATTCAGAGCTGAGGGACTTCAGTGTTTTGCCATACTATCTTTGTCAGACTTTCTGGAAATGTTGTAGTACAATCTCATACTTCTCAGTCTCGTACTTATTTATAGCATTTCCATGCTGTTAGCTTGAGGACAACAGTACAAGAGAAACCTTTCTTCAATTTACAGGAATAGCTAATTGAAAAAAAGGACATTCTGTCATTATTTACTAAACTTCACGTTGTTCCGAACTTGTATGTTTTTATTTTATCTGTAGAACACAAAAGACGAAACTTTGAACAATTTCTGTGCTGCTCTTTTCCATAATAGAGATAAACTGGAAAAGTGTCGCTTGAGTTTCTTTAAAATATCTCCAAAAGGTTGAATGATGGCAGAATTTGAATTCTTGTGTGAGCTACTATTCAAGCACACTTACACAGTCACGCGCATTTAGTGAACACTAACACTCCAGCACCACGGGTGACTGTGTTATCCTGGGCATGAACATCCCAGCGCTCATCTTTGGGAACAGGGTTTGTGTTTTCAACCCTAAAGTGAATTATCCTCAAGTCTAGTTGTGTTTTTGTCTCTTTTTAAGTGTATTTTGGATGTGTGAACACGTTTCCTTTGGTCTATCTGAGGATCTACTTCTCCTTGAACACAGCTGCCAAAACCAACTGAGAGCTCAACTCTTATATGAACTTTGTGCCTCGTTTCCTTAATCATGTTTGATACGGCGTCCTGTCATCATTTCCTGTCATCATGTGCGTGTTTTGTGCCACAAGCTCGTTCTTTTTGTTGTTTCGCACCATCTTCTTGGTGAACATGAGTTTTGGAAGGTTTTTCATATGCTTTGTTTGGATTTTTTAAGTCTTGAAAAATGAAGGCAAACTAGAAGAGAACACTCTTAAAAATAAAGGTGCTTAAAAGATTCTTCACAGCGATGCCATAGATGAACCATTTTTGGTTCCACAAAAAGAATTATCTCTTACTTACCTTTTTATAATCTGAAGGACCTTCTTTCACCACAAAGAACCTTTCGTGAAACAGAAAGGATCTTCAGATGTTTCTTCTATGGCACTGTGAAGCACCTTTATTTTTAAGAGTGAAAGTACATGATGGATAAAGGTTTTAGTTCTTTTATTTGTATTGGCGTTCAAATTGTGGTTGGAAAGAAACCTCCTTTGTGGAGATACTTTCTTTAGACTTCAGTGCGATGATTAAATTAATTGTACGTTTATTGATTTGACAGACCTTTTTTTCCTCCCCTGTTGGACAATGACAAAGTTTTAAAATAAAAAAATGTAATGAACAATCTGCATTTTTTGTTTTGTGTCCCATTGTCGCCAAACATTATTTTCTCTGTTTGTGGACATTTTCCCATCTGCTCAATATTTATCAAATATATCTGCTCAAAATATATTCAGGAATCATGTTTTTAACCCTGTTTATTAATGGAATTTTGTTAAGTTTCATGCAATTATTATTTTTTTTTGTCAATTTCATTTTAATAAAAATACACTGTTATTGTCCTAAGTCAAGCATCTATGACTGTTGCTCAGTGTCAAATCATTTTTTTTTTTTTTTGGTAACACTTTACTTAAAGCCTTTATTTATAATGCATTATAAAAGTAGTTTTAATGCATTAATCATGCCTTGTAATACAATTTATAATACATTATAATAATTGTAACCACATTACACTTATCAATTCATTGTTACACTAAGCATTTTAAATTTGGTTATAATTACTTACAAGATATAATGTATTACAAAGCACATTATGAATAATTATATTGCATTATACCCTTTAATAACCCTTTATAATGCATTATACTTGAAGGCTTTAAAGGTTACCTTTTTTTACCAGTATATAACCATCCAGCAATACTAGCAACCACTCAGAACACAGCATTGGCCTATATTAGATCTCCAGAGCTGGGAATGTCTGGGAATTCGACCTGGGGTCAGATCTTCTCCGGCTCTACAGTTCACACACCGAGCCTGTTGTTGAAACTTCTGTGAGATGATTACGTTGGAGCCAGACTGCACCAGAGACAGATAGAGTGACGTCTGAGGTCCTTTCATCAACCATTTGTCATAATACACACAACTCCCAGTTATTATGATCTCACCACATTATTCCTCCCATTAGTGTGGCTTAATTTCTCATTGACATGTGAGGGTTAACCAGCCCAGGCTCCTCCTAAACATGAATTCGGACCATTCTGGCAACTCTCCGGCCCACCTTACATCTGACTCATGTTTCTTGCACAAGTCCATGCCCTCATCCTAACTGTGAATATGAAATGCCTGTCATATTTGTGCTCTGTCATTGTTTCTGTAAATATTTCACAGTCTCTTGCTGAAGCTCCTAATGGTAGAAATCACTGAGAGTTGAATGAGCACCACAGTGCCATTTATGAAGGCCAATTATATGATATCTGTGGCTGAAATGCTTCATCTGTCCTTTGATTGGTTTTACAGCAACCTGCAGAAAAGCTATTACTATTGAATTCATTTCATCCATTGATTTCGCTGCACAAATTAATTTGTGCTATATCCTCGAGGGGCGCTCCGCGCATTTACCCAGAGCTAAGAGGCTAAAACTAATTTTACCGACACTAAAACGCCTAAATTGCCTTTGTGAGTTCACCTGGTTTTAATTTAATTAAAAAATAAACCAGTTTAGATGGCGTTGACAGTCTAAAGCGATACTCGACTGCCCTCTAGTGGCGCAGATGGGAAATTAAGGGTGCCTCATTCTGACTGAACACGACTGGGTGAGAAACGACATCATTTGTATTCCAAAACGTTGTGGTGTCTGTTTATGGATACTGTTGCCTACAACTACACATCTTTTTTCCCACAGTTTGCCCCTGTCAGGTCTCTCAACGCTTTTAAATAGCATTGCAGAAGCCAAATGATTGATGAGTCAGCAGTTGCTGCAACTTGCAGGGCGTTTTCATATTGAGCACAGAGATGCAAATCAGATCACAATACAGAGGATCGGCATGAATCTTAATGCATGTTGTTTTGCCATGATTAATTGCATCTTATTTTATCCAAGTGTGCCATATTCACACAGCTATACACCAATCAAAAGTATCCGAGGTTAAGTGTTCTAAATAATTTGTCACATGTAGCGACTTTGTATGTAAATGTAAGCTTTTTTAAAATAATTATGCCCTTCAAATAATAGGTAATAAAACGAGTTCCTGTGAGTTCTATATTCTACCGCATAGGCTGTAGTGGGAGGAGCTGTGATTGAATTTGCCGTCTTGTGATTGGCTGAAACAGGTGTTCTGAGGTTCCGTAGTCAATGATGACTGAAGTATGCATGCTTGTGTGTGTGTGTGTGTGTGTGTGTGTGTGTGTGTGTGTGCGTGCGTGCGTGCGTGCGTGCGCGCGTGTGTGTTTTGTGTTCCAAAACAAGGCGATTATCTAAGCCACATAATGACTTCTGTTAACCAGAGAAGTGGTTTGTAAATGTCTGTTAAGTTCTCTCTTTGCAGCGTCAGTTTTATGTATGCAAGTCTGAGAAATTAATGAAACGGGTTGATCTTTTGTTCCTTTTGTGGCACAAACTGTCTTTCTCACTTTCTCCCCCTCAGTCCAACAGCCTCAGAGACGGTAGCTAAAGCAGGAACTCTTTTGAGCGGGTGAGGGCACGTGTTGTTGTTATGGAAACTGGGCTTTTGGAGCTATTATTGTGAGGCTGCTTTGGAGAAGCAAACAGAACGGCGAGTATCTAGTGAGTGACTCTCCATCGAAATGTTCCACCGCCTAATATTTGTTTATAAACATACGCAGCAAACAATGCCAAATGAAAAAAAAATGTGCGCAAAACGTCTTAGCTTTTTTACTTCAAAGCGAACTCTATGCTCAATATTCTCAGAATAGTTCGATTACCCAACGAATGACTCATGTGTTTTGATTTTTTTTTTTATTAATCTCTTTAATGGTTCTTCTTTTTAATGTATCGTCCAGAACGAATGACTTACTTGATTTTGTTCTTTTTAATGAATATTTTTTAATGTCTCTTAAATGTCTCGTTCTGAAAACGAATGATGTCAGCCGTTCTTCAGTGCAGTCCGACTCCCGAGCTAATGAATCTTATGAGTCACATCTTTCCAGTGATTCAAAACATATAGCTACTACAACGTGACCAGTATTCCGATTTCTGAACGAATATGAGACGGTTCATTTTACCAACTCAAAAAAAAAAAAAAATACCATGAATCAGTTAGAGCAGTTACTGACTCACTTAGACTCACTGAACCACATATTATTATTATTTATCATTTTGTTCTAATCGAATTGAAGAACTGTTACTGTATTATGGCCGTGACTTAAATTAGCCTACTGAAATTAGGCTATTGGCTGATTGTTCATAAATGTCAACATGCATAGACTGATTAGACACTGAGTTTATGTAGCTATTTTATGCATTTTTTTATATAAAAAATACAGAAATGTCACCACATTTTGTTAATTTAGTGTTTTATGCATATATAGTTAGGATCAATATGTATTTAGCCCATTGTAATATATATTGCAATATAAAATTATTTTTTATAAATTTTATTTTGTATGTATTTATTTTTTGTATAGGTTGTTTTGTATGTATATTTATTTTGTTAATTTAATTTAACACCACATTTTGTTAATTTAGTGTTTTATGCATATATAGTTAGGATCAATATGTATTTAGCCCATTGTAATATATATTGCAATATAAAATATAAAATTATTTTTTATAAATGTTATTTTTTATGTATTTATTTTTTGTATAGGTTGTTTTGTATGTATATTTATTTTGTTTAAATCTGAAATTGTCTCATAATTTGGCTACAGACAGTAAAGGCAATAAGAATTACATTTTCCCCCAAATATTTTTCCTCATAATTACTAAAATAATCCAGAAAAAAATTTAGAATGGTTCAATTCCCCTTCTTTAAACGAGACGTAACACAACGGCCAAATACTGTACTGTACATATAGGCTACTGTACGCCCATGTGTACGACACGTGTGTGCATAAAAAGAGCTCAGACGAACGCGTCCTGTGTGAACTTCCACTCATAACCCAGATCATATAAACAGTGAATCATTCATAACCTCCGTGATTAGTCGCGGCTCGGCGCGTGGTGCTGAACGGACAGCGCCCTTAACTTTAACCTGCATGGGCGTGGCGCTTCAACTATCAAAGGGGCAACGACTCAGACCGCAGATAAAAGAAATAATAATCAAAATTAAGAGTCATTATCCATTCTACGACTACACCTACCATAAATTTCTCTTTGTGTACCACATCCACCGCGTGTTCCCCAAACACACAGAGCGAATGCTAACAAAGGTATCTCACAATAGGCATTAAGTGACAAGTCATCCGGGGAAAAAGCCCTCAGATATGGACACATTACATCTTTAACCCTCAAAACCCCGCATCACTTCCGCTGTTTCTCCTCTCCTCTCTCCAGCAGTCACCTCATCCTCCGTCGGTCTCACGTCTAATTTACGGTAACATCTCTGGATTTTCTCTGAATGTCTGTCATCGCTTCAGTAGATATAATACTATCAAATCCTGATGTGTTGCGTTTAATAACAACATAATTTGCACGGTCCACATTTATTTGCATTCATTCTTCGTGTTTGTGTATTGTTCAACAGATTGTTCAACATGAGTAGGCATCTTTTCTAAAGGGTTTTGCGATCAGTAGCATAGTAATATGCAGGGCTGAATGGTGTGGATAATAAAATGTATTGTTTTGGCGACTCGTGTAGTCAAAAATCCTGAAGAAATGCTAAATCACTTCATTTAACTGTTTACATTCCGTTAGTATTCTTTCACGATTTCTCTGACAAGTATAGGAACCTCCTCGCCTCACATGTAATGTTGTTTCTCACCTCCCAATGGGAAAACTAACATTTAGTGTCCACAGAGCTCTCTAGCCGGAGGTTTACGTGCCTTTGCATCCACCTGACAGTATTCACTGAGAGAAATGTCTGCTGCCGGAGATGTGCCTGCGTTCTTCCAGAACATGGGAAGCTCCAGCCCCAACCAGCCACGGCAGAAATTCTGTGGCATGTTCTGCCCGGTGGAGGGTTCGGCCGAGAACAAGACGCTGGACTTTGACTCGCTGTCCCCAGGGAAAGGTCGAGTGATCGAGAGGCAGAAGGATATCTCCAAACCACGAAAGGTGGAGATCAGGAGAAGTACTGGAAAAGAGATTCTGCAGAACCTAAACGACGAGGTAAGAGCTGCAGGGATTGTGCACTGTCATGTGGGTGGAAACATTAACACTATTGCATAAAGCAATCTTCATTCAATATATATTTAATGTTCTACTAATTTGCAGTCCATATTACACAGCTAATATTTTGCAGAATGCTTGATTCTGCTTGGTCAGTCGCAATGTTGTTTTCAAATATTTATGTATAATAACTTCTAAACTTTATATTTGACTTTGTACCCAGCAATCAATCTCCTAAACTGCTAGTTTCATAGTTGTATCACTCTGCACTCTCTTTGGTCTCATATGACAGAATAGTTTCAACTCACTGTCTATTTATTGAGTATGTAGAAATATGTGAGCTAATGTACAGTGAGGTGATCATTATCATAAAAAATGTACCTTCAGGATGATACAAAATCTGATCACCCTGTCTGGTTTTATTGTGTGATAACAACCAGCTGACTGTGCAATATTTCTTGTTGCAGTTGAATAAAATCATGAATTATTTTAAAACTTGAATATTTGCTGTTCTCACAGAAAAAAAGGTAAATGATACATAAAACGTATTTAGTCATTATACCTCACAAACTTTAGAACTAATTAATTTAGAAATAAGATGCAGCCCTTCTAGCAACAGATCATTTTTCAAAATAAAGTGTACAAACCTTAAAAATGATGGTGATTTAAACATCCAATAAGGTTTTTTACAGTCCAGTTGTTGCTAAGAGCCCAATAATTCAAGAGGCTGTATGTGTGGGCCTTGGTATCTGGATGCGGTAACCATAGCTACAGTGACAGTGATGCTGAGCTGTGATTGAAGTACGCCCCAATAGGGCTTTAAGAGCAATAACTTGGGACCTGTTAAAAAGCTCATAAGACTCAGAATCACCTCCACTCAGAATTATATTCAGAATTACCCTCCTTTTTCACATAAGAGGAGAAAATTATATAGCCTTTTCACTGAATGTTGTCAGTCAGATATGACAGTGCTTTTATACATGGTAACATGATCCTACAGTCAAGAAAACGCTCTGTCACCCAATATACCAAACAGGAAATTGTTCTATGTTTGGCAAGTGTGATTTAAAGCCACTCTTATGCTTTTTTTTTTCTTCTTCACTGATAGGCCTTAATGACTGCAGAGATCAATAGCATGTTTAGGTCTACTGCACTGAGCCCAAAGCAGCCAGAAGGACCCGGATAATGAGCTGTAGTGTTTGCATATTAATAAACTAAGATTCGGGGCAAAAAAAGCTTTATTGTTGTGTAATAATGCTTTGATAAAAAAAATAATAAAAAAAAACATAGCTTGGAGTATATTTATGTACCCAGATTTGAAAATATTTCCATAAAAAGGAAAGCTGGTTCTGTAGAATCCATTCAATTATGAATACTGGTTTAAAAATCATTATAAAAATATGAAATATGTTTTTAAAGTTGACACCCTAAGTTGTTTAATGATTGTTTTTGTACTTATTTAAAAAAAAAATATATATATATATATATATATATACAGTGGGTACGGAAAGTATTCAGAGCTGTAGTGTTTGCATATTAATAAACTAAGATTCGGGGCAAAATATTAACTTTAAGAAGGCATGATTTGTGGTATTACATACTGTTCTGAATTGCTAGAGCTAAAACTTGCAAACATAAATTGTTTTGTTACCACTCAAGTGTCTTTTTGATGTTTATAGTAATATATGAAGATAATTTAAAAGTCTTTGTCACATTTATTTGATTACTGTGCACAACTTATCGAACCATTTATTTTTCAAACATAATATTCAAATTATTTGACAAAAATGCTTGCATCATGAATATCAAGAGGTTTTCTTAGGGTTACTTTATTTGAATAAAACAAGCCTTTGCATAAAATATGGGATTTTATTATATCAATCGTATTAATTTATTTTATTATTATTTTCTTCTTGACTGTGTGTCGAGATTATTTGGTTTGTTTAGAATAAAATAATAATATTTAAACATAATTTATACATATATTATGAACAATGAATAATATAACGGATATATATATATATATATATATATATATATAAGAATATATATTGAATAACATATGCTTTACAACTACATTTCCCTAAGATATATCTGCCTTTTATTTTTTTAATATATAAAATATATTTTTTTTCATATATACATATATATATATATATATACACACACACATATACATATATACATAGCATATACATATATGTATGTATGTAATCATTGTTAATCTCTGTGAATCACATTTTATGTATTTTTTAATTAATTAGTCCAGAAAAAAAATGAGCCATGTCATTGACACTTTTATTAATCTCCATAATCGTTTGCATACAAATTATGTTTATTATTCATCGCACAGTTTTTGTTTTCCGTCATTTTCGATCAGGTCATGCAAACACTGATCCGTGTGCCATTAAACCCATTGTCTGAAACATTGGTCACCCTCTGTGGACTCAGAGGAGGAGCTGCAGGCTATCCAGGGCGGGGTTGTGCGCATGCGCGCTGCTCTCCGCTATGAAAATCTCTCGTTTTGTCTCAAACAGTCTCTGGGTGGACTTGGTGCATCGGTGGAGAGGAGATATTGGGCACAGGTCCTTTGTCCTTTACATTTCTAGCGCTTTTACCTCCGTTCGCCTCTTAATTCCTAAAGGACTACAAAAACTGTCCTAAACCAGGCCATTTCCCCTCCCAAGCAGATCTTTGCATCCATTATCCCAGTGATAACGGTTCATCAAAGGGAATAGAGCATAAAGAAGATGTCTGGCTATCAGGGCAAGAAGAATATTCCCCGCATAACCGTGAGTTATGGAATATCTTCTTTAATTATTTGCTAAGTATACAGCATGTTTAGAAATAGTTAAAATATTGTGAGAAGAAATGGCAGCTATTTGATTTGCACGAACGCTGATCTAAACGCAACGCTCGCTGATCCCCTGCTCCGCGTAGCTACGTTACATTTCGTTGCTCAGGTGCTTGGAGCCGGTAAACTTGTGATGTTTTAGCGAAATGAAGCTGTCAAAGTGTTTAATTTATGTCTTGAAGCAGTACTGCAGCACGGCATTGCGTTCTAGGACTCTTATGAGATTCACGCCCCATCTACAGCCGCGACGCAACAAAACCGGAACGCTCCCTATATAATTAATGAAGCTGTTTTTGCCGCGTTCGGCTTGCGTCGCGTCGCTCGCGTTAAGCGTGATAATGTGTAGCGAATAAACCATAACATTCCAAAGTGTATTTAATAATTGCATTAAAACAAGCAGTTATGAGAGACCGACTGTCTGACCAATTGTGACTGACGCGAACACAACGTGTTTGAGGGAACGGTATACAGGATAATGGAAAAACGCATGGCAAACCAGGGGGAAAATGAGCAAATTTCCTTCCTCAAGGCAGTGGGTTTGATTTATAATAGCTGCATGGCCCACACTTCTATATATTTTTGCATTTGCTCAAGCCTTGTATTGAAATAATTGTCACAATAGACATTATCATGCTTCCCCACCCATCTGATTATAACACATCCACATGACATCACAATGCACCTAATTTGATCTGTTTTAGAGTAAACCCTGCTGGAAATAGCTGTTCGGAGACGGTCGAATGGAGCTCCCACTCGGCTCGGCTGGTGGCAGGTGTGCCTTTGTTTCTTTTCAAAGGAAGCTCTTTGGGCTGAGGTTTGGAGGAGAGCTTTAGGACACCCTTTTAGATTCACTAAGCGATGTTGAATGAGAAGTAGGTGGGTTGTGGTTTCCATCCAGCATGTTAGCAAACCGCATCCAGCTCTTAGTAAGATCTAAGAGGTTGGAGATAAGCCAGTCGGAGAGTAGCACGTGCAGGATCGCATGCAGAAAAAGGCCGAAGGTGCAGCTAAGAATACATTCAGATGGTAACAAGGAAAAATAAGTAAGAAGAATGAGCTATCTGAGAGAAATGCTTGTAGAGTTGTGTGTGTGCGTGTGTGCCACACCCCTATTACAGTGGCTATCTTTTAGTGTTGCGTCTATGGCACATCAACGTTTGGGAAAGTAATGGGAATGGAATTTGACACACTTCCAAACGGATCTGTCGATTGACATCAAATAGCGCAGAGGTCGCTCGGTCGATTTTTACTTGTTGTGTCCGTTCTAACTGTAGTCACAGCTTGGCCCCGTCAGTCATCACCCCTTGTACTGTAGTGGAATTCATGCAGACCTCCCAAGCACACTGTGACCCAAAGACCTCACATAAAAATATTGTCCTCCTAAAAGCTTCAGCACAATTAGGTGAATTGTTCGTAGAGCGGATATTTAAGAGCAATTGATGGACTGTCCATCTTAGATCTGTATTTCCTGTGATTTTGTCTCCTGCATAAATAGACCCAGGCGTGGTTTGGATGCACACATAGTTGACACACAAGCATATGGCAGCATGGCTGGTCGGCTGAAGGGTGGCTGGGATGGTTAAAGGATGGGTCGGGGTGAACCAGCTGCATTGGTCAGCTGCGCAGACAGGCGGAGGAGGGTGACACCTTCTTGAGCCTCATTAAAGATGAATGTTAGCTTTAATTCTCCACCTGCCTGGTCACTTTCAGCTGTAGGTATGAGGTCAGATACCAGAGAAGAATTTTTATGTTCATACATGTTCATACTGTATAGTCAAATTCACTTGTTTTCATGTTAATCACTGACTGGCATTGTTATGTCACCACTTATTATTAGTTCTGCTTTCTGCATCAGACCTACTGTAAAAGATAAAAAGATACAAATTCATGAGTAAATAAATACATTGAAAAATGAGTAAACAAGTGTTATTTTGGTATTTATTTATTTTATTAAATATTTATATTCAATGTTTGTTTTGATATTTATTTATATACTAAACAAAGATGATAGTTTTAATATTTATGTTTTTTTTATTTATTGTTAATATTTATTTATTCATTGTCACTTATTTTCACTTTACTCGATTATTTAATTACTACAGAAATATAAAAATTTTATTTTTAAATATTTATAATTTTCTGTAGT